AGAGGAAAAGAGATTCACTTGTGGGGGATGGAAAGGCCGCTGTTCCTATTTCACAGGACAAGCTGTTGGTCCAAAGGCAGGGAACACCAAGCCACTTGCAGAAGCCTCTCTTCCGCAGAGTCACCGCAAGTACACATGCACTACTTGGTTTAATTCCCCTTCACAAATATGAATTAATAAATTAATTGTAAAAGCGCATTTAAAAGCTGCTTCGGGGAGTAATCTCCTTAAAGGGCGTCCCCGCTTCACTGACCCAGGTTGCCTGTTAAATAGTAAATCAGAGGCTGCTCTACTGTTCTCTCAGGCACGTCTTGTTTCTCCCCCCTGTCCTCCCTCCAAGCTGGGTTGATCTTGATGCAAGGCAGCAAGCTATCTGCTCCAGTATTAGAGGAGCAAGCAAACTCCGGGACCTCACGCTGCAGAATTACAGTGTGGTTTAACTTGCCAGGAGCTTAAATATTTACCTGTCTTCATTAATTCCACACATGCGGACCCTTTCATTGCTCATCCAGCTATGAACGTTGCCATACAGGGGAGTTGCAGAAAGCATGACGTCTTCTTAAAAATCACCGCTTTTCTTCACGGTTTTTATATTCTATTAAAAAAAATAAAAAGGAAAAAGAGGGAAAAAAAAAAAAAGTTGAGCAGATTTGTCTAGGAGGAAGTGCAAACACCGCAGCGGAGCAGCCAGCCTCCCTCCGGGTAATTAATAATGAATGCAGGATTGGTGCGGGGAGTGAGCTGCCTACGTTAACCACTAAGGGAGATACCCTGCAATAAAGGAGCAAATTGAGGGCATTTATAGGTCAGAGGAGATGGATCTTTTCCCCAGCGCACATCCAGAAAATTAAGAATCATTCCAAGCTATCGACAAACAAAAGTTTCTCGGCTGCATTTCATTTCCACAAGAAATGACTCAGCCGGCCAAGTACACACTAGTCCCCAGACATTCATTTCACACAGGATGAACCAGGGAGGGAGACCCCACAGGCTGAGGGAACACGCCAAACTACCCACATGTGCTCACAAAAGCCCTGCATTAGGAAGGCACAGGAGCAGGAGTACGGAGCAAGAACAGCCACATCCCATGTGCATTAGCTATGCTGATTGTTGATAAAGCTTTCACACGGGACTTAAAACTGAAGAGACGCTGCTACAGAAGAGATCTAAATAAAAAACTCCCCCTTTAGTGTCTGCACATGACTAACTTGGAGAAAGGGGTTAAAAATAGTAAGTGGGTTGGCGAGCTCCCCACCCCTTGATTTGATTAAGCACGGAGCCCTGGTGGCTTCTGCACTGGAGCTGCTGCTGCAGCTGCTGCGAGTGCTTTCAGTAATTCAATGATGCCTGCTCACTCCAGGGAAAGAAATCATTAGCGGGCTCGCTGGAGAAGTATTAGCAGTCCGAGAGGATCAGCATCGTGCGCAGCCAGAGAGGCAGGTGAAAGGTAACCGCATTTCGCGTCCAGCAGTGGAGAGGGAAAGGCTTTTCCTCCCCTGTACCTTGCCTAACGCCACCTCCACTCGCATTAAATCCTAGTTTGCTGCATGAGCGAAGTGTCAGGACAAGCTGCGTTTTATTAACAGGATTATCGCGGCGCATGATTTATTCCAGTGCAAGATTTTAATTGCTCTTCGGAGGTTGAGTCGTTTCTTTTGACTGAGCTTCAGCCTGCATCCTGCTGCTAAATGCTGGGTTAATAAGTAGGGGGAGCCTTTAATGCACAGGATATCCCTCAGCTCTTCCTCTCTCACAAAAATAGAAGCCTTTAAGCGGGAGGCATGATACTCCTCTTACACACACACACACAAGCCAGTAACGGGCGATTGACCGCTGGGAGTTTAATGCTTAGCGTCTCCCAACGCATCCATGCTTCCCCAGCAAACTCATTTCCTTTGTCAGGCTACAAAATATGCAAATGATCACTTTGGCATTTAATGGGGAAGAAGCCCAGATTGGGCCTTTAACACAATACTTCACACACGTTCAGAGAGGTTTAAGAGCTGAAACGGCAGGAAAGCCTTGTTCCCCAACACTTTTTTCTCCCCTCAGAGAGGCCTTTTGTGCAGAACTCCACGTCTGGAACAAATGTATATTAATGAAACGGCATGTTGATCCTCCTGCCTCCACAACGGTTAGCTTTCCCTAATGAAGTCCACAAAAATCGCTGCGAGGAAACAAAAATCCGCTGAGATTAGATACCGTGCTATCACTCAAAAGGAATTATTTCACTGGAAAGACGGTTTCTGGACAGATTTACTGGTTTCCAGATGCGCCGCTCGTAATGTTTTCAATAGAGGCAGCAGCAGCATGGCGAGAGTGATTTAGGGGTTTACGTAAGGTTAGTAGCCGCCCTGTGCGCTGCCTCATCCATGAGGGACGGACACCGGCTCAGAGGATACGGGCCGCAGCAGCACACGAGACCAACCCCCCGTTGCTCCTTGGAGGGGCCGCCTGCGCCTGCCTGGTTTCCTTGGTGGAAGTGTACCATTAAGATAAGGCGCAGTGCCTGAATTAGAGCCCGTCAATCCCCTGACACGTGCAGATAGCGAAATGCTGAAGTTCCCCAGCCGCAGCAGCGGGTGATCTGGA